TATTTTTTTTTTTTTTTTTAATGACTATCAAATGAAATTCAACCACTGTGAAACAACTAATTTTTACAATAGCTTATCCTTGTACAGACAACGTTAGAAATGCTGCCTCTCGATAAACAAATTCATTTATAGAACTTTAGAATGCTCTACAATTCATTTATAGAACTTTAGAAGGCTTTACAATCACATTTGCTCAGTTATTTTCACTATGTAATATTGCGTTTCTCCATGACATTTTATCACTGTTATTAAAACGTTCAGAGAAATTTGACTGTGAATTTTGAGGTTAGAGTCAGATATTATAAGAAAATTCAGTCAAAATATTTACATTTTAAAATTGATATACATGTATCTATGTGTCTTACGAAGGCGCTATTACAGTGTCTGTAAACAAAATTTCTAAGTTAGCCGCTGCTATTTACAACTTAAGCCACGCAACTCCTTCAAAATACCCCCTCCAATGGCTCAGCGGTACGTCTGCAGGCTTACGATGCTAAAGTTCTAGCTTCGATACCCGTGATTGACAGAGCAAATAACCTATTGTGCAGCTTTACTCTTGACGATAACATAAACCAAACCTTCAAAGTGATTTTATGGTTTACATTTTACTGCGAAAATATCAATATTATGACATTTAATGATACAAAAAGTTTTTTAAATGGATTGATTTGGACATTAATATTTATTTAAATATACGGTATGTCTGCGGACTTAAAATACTAGAAACCTGATTTCGATACCCGTGGTGGGCAGAGAACGGATAGCCCATTTTGGAGATTTGTGCTTAACTACAAACACACAAACAATGTAAATATACGTAATTTTATAGTTTGATCCGAAACATTATAACACCAATATCTATATTTATTCACTAATATATACATATATATATGTATATAAGCACAGGCTAAGGCATCTACATTCAAGTGATTTTCCTCGTTCTGTGTGAAACATAACACCAATATCTATATTTATTCACTAATATATATATAAGCACAGGCTAAGGCATCTACATTCAAATGATTTTCCTCGTTCACAGAACAGAGAACTTTAACCAGTTGTTACTTTACTCTTTGGTTGTAAATCGCTGAGTTATGTCCAGTTTTCACCTCAATAACAAATGAGTCTACCGTAAATCGGATTTCTCTAGCAAACCGAGAAAGATTTTGTGAAAACAATGAAAAGAAATATAATTAAGGCCATTAATAATGTTCTCCACTTTCACTGATTAAGTCCATGAAAAAATCGCAGTTATTGGTTGTATGGTCCTACAATAAATCCTGGTGGTTGTGGGTGTGATCAAGTAGAACGCCGACAAATAACTTGTTACGTTATAACTAAGTCATATCATATCAACTTAAAATGTTTACAATATCTATACATATTCATTTATAACATTTATTGAGTATTTCAAGAATAGAGATAAAAATAGCATATGTCAAGATCACGAATTAATTATTATTTTTACTTCATATTTGAATACATGATGACAATACCTTGAAAAGGATGATGGTCTGCGGACTTACAACGCTAGAAACCGGGTTTCGATACTCGTGGTGGGCAGAGTACAGATAGCCCTTGTGTAGCTTTGTGCATAATTAAAAACAAACGAACATTAACTATTAATCACGCAATGGTTCCAAACTAGAAACATCACGAGTTATTTTTATCCATAGTTTAATAGAATTATTTTTTAGCTTTGAATTACAACCATATAACTGATGAGCTGATGTTTTGTTACTCTACACAAATTACCTAAACAAAAATTTATTAATATAAAACTTCAATCATGAGTGATGTTAAAAATTGAGTTAGACTTAGAGTAAAATAGGAAAGTAACAAACATATTTTGTCGCCAAAGTTGCAGATGCGTGTTTTTCCGTGACAGAAAAACTTTTCAATCATCCCACTGTACTTTCTATCTCAAACGTTTAAATATCACGCATCTTAAGATCATAAAAATAGTATGTAAAATTAGTCTTTAGTATATTGTTTTACAGACGTTTCTGATTATTGCACCTAATATGTTATAGAAAGTAATTGTAAAATTTCATGGTAAAATAAAACTAAGTGTTTAAAACATTTTTTTTTCACTCTATATTTAAGCCGTAACTACAGTTTTTTTTCATTCTTTGTCTTAACAGTTATGTTAATTAAATTAATTTGTTATTTGTAATTACTTTGGATTAGATTCTTTAAAACATATTATATTACATTTTGTTCGTCTCTCATAAACAATTATATATAAAGATCACACTATACAGACTTTGTTA